TGTCTTTAATATAATGCTAGTTCTTAAATCGTGTAAATTCATATTAGTTAAAAGCTGTATTATAAAAAGGTTTGTAGGGAATACATTTATGATTGATTAACAATGAATTTCCAAATTCGAATTATTAAACCAAATCGAACTTGAGTTGTTATATAATCAAATATAACGTGTAAAATGGATTACGTATTATTGGCGAATGGAAATATTTAATTTTAATTTAAAATAACTATTAATTATCAGTCATATAATACCTTTTTTTCTTTAATTAAATATATTGGTTACGGAATAATCATTCTTTACCTTTTTTTTCTAAATTTATAAATTTATAAATTTTATGTAATTGGCAAAATAAACAATCTTACGAATAGAAAAGTAAATTTTTAAAGCTATTTTTTATATATTATCATATATGGAATATGCATGCTTTAATTTAGAGTCTTTTGCTAAAAAGACTTAGAAATTGTAGAAAATTGAACTGGATAAATTAATAAATATTTTTATGAAAATAATCATTACTGTTGAATCGGTAAAGACTAATAGATAAAAAAAAAAGTATTATTTCTAATCACAAAATAATAATAAATATTCACTTAATAATCTATTAATTAATCGAAAGTAATAGTCAAAAAAAAAAACAAATTGAGTATTATTTAATTAATAGTTAGATAAAATAATTTTAGTGAAAAAAGCATAAGCGCAAAATTTCCGTAATCCATACTTATCATACTTATCGTTATAATATTAAATTAGGGTAACTCATCGATTCACTACCTTCGCTACTGCCCGTACTTAGAGCACTATAATAATATAAAGATAAATAACGGGAAATATAAAATATTAGCTATGGCTACGGCCTAAAGCGATCTAACCTAAAGTAAATAAAATAAAACCAAAAATGAACATAATAAAAACTTACATACTTTACTGAAACCCCTGATTTAGCGACTTTAATGCCACCAGCATGTGACCTTCATATGACTATATGGTCACGTACAGGTAGCATTTTTATTTTTTTGGTCGTCTAGTTTCTACCTTATTTCTTTGTGTCGGCTATATGAAAGTGATTATGAAGCGTTAATTTAATAATTTATATAAATATTTTAAAGAGCGGCTTTTTAAAAAAAAATGTTTATATGAATTTTCTAATTTCTGGCGTATTGCTTTATGTCGACATTATAGAGGCGATAAATCTGATTTTTAAAAAAATTTTAAAAGTAAAAAAAACTATATGTATATTAATTTAATAAATAAAATAAATTTTTTATTTTATTTTAACTTGCGATTACTTAAAAATATTCCTTTAAATAAAAATAAATAACTTTCGAAATGTTTGATTTAAATTACCCAATATATTCATATTAAAAATTTGATATAAAATATAGTTTTTCGGAACTCGGAAATAAAGTCGGAATTTATCGCGTCGTGCATATAGTCATCTAAATATTGACTTAAAAAAAATTTCGCATAGAATAAATGATTAAAATAAAATGTAATTAAATCGCAATAATAAAATGATTTTTTTTTAGTATTGTAAAGAATAAAAATAAATATAAGAAGTCCAAGTTATGTCCGGTGATGTTCTGCGCCGCATTTATTTCTTAATGCTAAAATCCAAGCAAAATTCTTATTATTTTCATAGAATCTCCAAAAACGTCTTTTAAAGTATTATTACTGTTAAATACTAAAATTCGTAATAATAATGATTAAAAAAATAGACAATTACCTTCCTATGATTTTTTAGGGAGTCGTTTCACTGTCACGAAGATTCTTCGATGGTAGTACAGAAATGATCAATTAATCGTGAGGGCATTCACACATCGTTTAAAAAAAAGATAAATAAATTTGGGAAAATTTTATAATTCTCTCAGAAATTGGAAGAATATAGAATTTTTTGTCCCCCTTTGCGGATGAGGAAAAACAGAATACAACATTAATTTTGAAAATCTAATTAAAGTTAGGTGAAGAATCAGAACAGACTGAGAGTTTAGAGAAAAGTGTGCAAATCGTGATGAGATAATCGGTGAAAAGGAAACTGATGTAAAAACTCTGAAAACTTCCAATCCTAATTATAATAAGTTAAAAGTGTTTTTAGGAATACCAGCAATTAAAAGGAGTCCAAAGAGAGAGTGTGAGAAGTAATGTATGCTTGAAATAAAATAAATAGAAATCAAGAATTACAAAGTTACGATTTAATAATTGGCCATGTTTCAGTTAAATCACCCCATTTTTTCTCCAGAGCGGTTTGATTATCCATAATTTATGGTGCTAACAGGAAATAAAATAAATGGAAAAGGAAGAATTTGTTGTTTTCGCCTTTCAAAAGTACCTGAAGCTCTAAAGAAAATAAATGAAGTTAGTACAAATAAGAAACAATAAAAATGAAATCAAAAGATAAATAAACTATTACATACAGTATATTAAATAGCTTTAAAAAAGAAGTCATTTTTTAAATAATGATTATTTTCTAAATTATGATTATCCTTGCATCTTACATTACAATCATGTACGAAATGCACCATCTACGTCTGTTAATGGAAAAATTTTGCGATAAAAATTTTCGTGACAAAGGACAAAAATCGGACAATCTAATTTTCCATGCTTCTTATAGGTATCTTCAAACCAATCAATGTAAATAAACGGGTAAAAATATACATCATTTCTCTTGTACTTGAAGATTCCTTTGATAATTGCGTAACTTTCACCATAATCGGCCACTTGAATTGTCACTACATCATTCTTATTTAAATGGTATCGGACTTCATCATTTTGTGTATCTTGTACATAACGATAAGATGAATATTTGTAAAACTTGCAAGTTTTGTTAATCAGTTATGCATAGCAACCAAAACTGTTGTAAGCAAGAGCCAAGTCAGTTTGAAATGAAACTTTATCTATTTCGATAATTGTATTGCAAATAAGTATTGGCTTTCTTAGCTCTATGTTTTGAATATGACTTGATTGTAAACATACTATAAAAATGTAAGCATATTGTTATCCATTTAAAAATATATAAATAAACATTTTATTACCTTTAGATTCCTCATTATCTATCTCCAAATTTTTTATAATAAACCAATCTTTAAATAAACGTTTAGTATTTTGAGATATATTCATAAAACTAATGTTAGGTTGTAAGTTTTGAGAGTCAACTCCACCATTGACAAGGTATCAAATTGATTGTAGTATTGTATAACGTTTTAATAAATTCAATATTTTTACAATTGGTATATAGAACTATCCTTTTAAAGATACGATGGACCATTTTCTTCATTCCAACTTCAGTATTTGTGAGAGTTCTAAAGGTTCTTGCATGCTGCAGTAAATGATAACCAGCATGAAGATTAGGAAGGCCTACAAATTCTTCAAATAACTATGTATACAATATAGTAATAAAGAAAAGTTAGTTTCAAAAATACAGAATTGGTATCACTAAATACATATATGAATTTTATCTCCATCAATGCTTTTCATTCCTCTTTAACAAAATTTCAAAATCTTTATAGTCATCATTCGTTAATGAAATTCTAAATGCTAACTGAGAGTATTTCACTACAATTGCCCAGTATTTAATGATATTATTGATCACTTGATCACGATTTAAGCTTATTTGTTCTTGCAGTTTTGCTAAGTCTTATTATTTCAAGCAGTTAATGGTTAAAAAACAATTTAATATAAATGATATTAGCATTCCTAATCGAAGATAATCTGACATCATAAAACTTTCAATATAGCTAATAGGATTTGGAAGTTTTGACCATTGAAACAGATATTCAAATGATTTCCAAATACTAATAAATATTTTGTTACCTTCTGGAGATAGCATGACAATTGTTAATTTGAATAATTTTACCATTTTGCCAGCTATTAGGTGGTAGATATCCTGTGGTGATTGCAGATATTATTTTCATTTAAGCTGATTAAGAATTGGAAGAGAATTTTGCAAACCATATTTTTTTACTATATCATCTTGTTGCATAAGTGTCAAAGCTGCAAATAATTCTTCAAATTGAGCATTTATAATATGATAATAATGAGAAATACTAGCAATATTTAATGTGGTATCTGTAAAATTTCTTTGATAACTTGACATGTTCTACATCTTTTTATTGCACTATACCGTTTAACACCTAATAAATCATTACCTTAAGGTAAGTCTGTAATAATACATCTAAGATTTGCTATAATCTAACAATCTCTTTCTTGAACATTTATTAATATTCCCTTTTCTAATTGTTTCATATCTTTAATAAAAGAATGAATAAAATCTTTAAAACAACCATCAAATAGAACAAAGCCTAAAACAAAATGATTACAAAGGTGTTTTCTTAAATCAAATGGCATATTTTCTAATTGAATATATACTCCTCCTAGTGAATAATAAATATTTTGATAAGTTCTGAAATTATCATAATAAATATCTGTATTGTGATAGTAGTAAATTTAGAATAGAATATTCGAATAAATGTATATAGTCTAGTGTTACTTTTCATAATTTTTAATAGCCATTATTTTTATATAAAACTTCTTTAATAAATATATTATCAGTAATAATAGTTGAATCACGAATAATTGTAATATCAACCTTTTAACAATCTTATTAGCATTTGTAATAATACTACTCTCTTTCAAATACTGGTCTATTAACTATAATTGCAATTGGCATATAATTAATTGTTCATTATAGTAAAAATAGTTTAGTAATTCATTATAAATATAAATTTATTGTAATTTTATTTGAAGTTTATTATTAATAGATATTATTGATAATATTCGTCTAAATCTTTAAATTCTATTTTCTTTATATATAATAAATTCACTTAGATGATAAATTTCTAAGTAAATAGTTTTATAAATAAACAATATGTATAAATTTATTTATTAATAATAATGAATTAATAATAATGAATCAAAATACTTTTATTAATACTTATTTTGTCTTGTTCGAATAATGATAATTCAGCCAGAGATCCCATATCAGAATTCTTTTTTTTCTTTAACTTCTACTCCTAGTCCAAAGTATAATGTGTTATATAGTAATAGGTTATTTAATATATTCTAAAGAATATCACAAATTGAACATGTTTTAATTTTTTTAGATGTAAATGATGTTTTCTTTTAGTTTATTTTGATAGAGCATGCCCTTATTAGCATTAATGACAATTGACGTCTCTATTACTAAAATCTTCTTACATTCTTTACAACTTCTTTTACATTAAATTCAGAATGTTGTAATATGTCCACTAAATCGTTATATGTATTTGTCGCTATATTTTAATATATAATAAATAATTATATGCTTATAAATTATTATATGTATTCATTACTAAACAATATAATAAAAGATGAACTTACAAATATTATGTTTTTGTATCCAATAGAAAAATAAAGTAGAAGTTACATTATCAAAATAAGGAGTAAAACATCCATTTATATTTGACAACTGATCACTACTCATTGATGAATCAGTTATTATAACTTCCTCATACTTTAAATGAAAAAATTTTATTAAAAATATAATATATTTATAAATCAGAGAAAGTATAGATTATACTATTGTCACTGCCAAGATCTTCCAAATCATAATCTTTTTTTACTACATCTTCATTCACATTTTTACCATCATCATCATAATTGTAATAATTATTGTTTTTATTTACATTTTTACTATTATCATTATTATAATAATTATTATTATCATAGTAATCATTTTAGTAATCATCATCCTCATTATTATCACTAACTTCTATTTCATTTTGCAATTCAGTTTTATTACTACTTTCAGTTTTATTATTACTTTTAAGTTCCATTTCATCTTGCAATTCAGGTTTATTATTTTCTTTAGAACCTATTTCCAATACTAAATAAATATTAGATAGAATTTATCTCAGAATATTAATAATTAATATATTGGCAATCTTGATAAACCAGATTTAAAAAAAATCTATTACATCATTATCAGCATTGTATTTTAAACATTAGTTGTCAAGAGTTATTATATTATGTTTATCAAAGATTTGGATTATTGAGACTGCTTGTATTAATTAATAATTAATAATAATATTTATATTTATGCTTTTGAAGAAGATTTCGATTAAAAAAGTTAGTACTTTAGTGTAAAGATAGTGGTTTCGTTAATGAAATATGATACATTTTCAAATTTTCAAAAAAAACTAAAGTTTATTTATAAGTATTATTATTATTTATGAAAAATTATGCTACAAAAATATAGTTTATTTATTTATATAACTTTATATTATTACACAAAAAAAGACATGGATGATGACGATCTAAAGGATGATATTGATCCCTAAGAAATCATATATGACTTCTATGTCATCTATGTCATCTATAGCATATATTTCCTTTATACAATATATTTTTTTTATTTCTTTTATTTTATTTATCTTATATATCTATTATATTTTACTTATTTCATATATTTTATTTATTATATTTATTTCTTTTA